GATTTTCCTTGTAAACTTTCCACATATTCTACTTTGTCATAATCTGTATCTATGAAAGAAAAGCACCACTAGCTTTATAATAGATTCTTACAGTAGGATAGACTTGGGAAAGATATAGGCAAGAGACCAAAAGAAGAAAAAGAAGAAGCAAAAATATAGCGTAGGAAGTTAGCACCCGCCCCACTCCTAGGAAAATGAAATATCCTAGGAAATATTAAAAAGGCAGAATATTTCCCCTAAAAGGGAAGTAGAAACTCAGAGAGGGAGAAGCTCATCCCCCACCTTTGTTAATGGGTGGGCCATACATAACAAAGGCCTCTACCCATCTCACCACCTGGCCTGGGAAGATTGCATCAGCCAGCACTCAGGTGAAGCCATGTGGTCCAGATAAAGCCTACAAAGTTAGCTAAGACCCCCGCCCCTGGGAGTCTGACAGCCAATAAGATACATTTCTTACACAGGGACAGGAAACACTAAGGTGGGGCCCAACAGAGGGTATAAAACTAAGGGTCTCTCAGCATCTTGGCCCTTCTTTTCCTTCACCCAACTTTGGAGCTCCTAGCCATGTAGCCCTGTCCACCATTAAACCTTCTTTCGAAGCAACTTCCATGAATCCAGTGTCCTTTTCCCCACTTGGAACTGAACCCAGAAGGATATTTCTTCCAACAATAGATTTCAGGCACACAAATGAACATTTCTTCACTAGTGTCATCCAGCTCTTGGGGTGTCAGAATAATAGCTTGATGGGAAAATAATATGTTGTCCCCATTTATGTTCTGTCCTCAGTGGCTAATAACATGTATTGTCTTCATGGAAGAAGACATTTTGAGAGGAATCCCTAGGAATCTACCAATGACTGATCAAAGCTGGCCCCTCCCCCCCCCACCTCACAGAAAGAGAGAGAGAGAGAGAGAGAGAGAGAGAATCACCTGAAATGGGGCTAGCCGCTAGTGTAATAAAGATCATGTGACTGATGGGCCAATTGGGCTTGTAAAGATATATTGGGGGGGGGGGGAATAAATGACATTTTATATTTGCAACAAACTGAAGTTGATTTGAAAGAAGCGAAATTCATCTTCCTGTGGTAAATAAGTGCTGCTTTGGTAAATAAGTTGCACATTGATTCAAAACCAGCAAAGCCTATTTGAATGGTTGCAAACATTTTAAAAAATGAATATATAAGCAAAGGTTCTTTTGTGCCACTTTCAACTGCCTTAAAAACCCATGTGAGGCTTTGATGAACATGGCCCTAGAAAACTCATCCTGGGTGCAAAGTTGTGTGGCAGAAAAATCAACCTCATAATAGCTCCCATATTCTGGAATTCACGGAAAAATGGAAAGATAATAACGGACTGTAATTGAAGCAAACTTGTCAGATATTCTCACACCTTTTCAACAATTCTTTGGAGAAACAAATGCTGAAGGGAAACTGAAATAATAAGCTATTTATATGAGTTATCAGCTTTCTTTGCTGTTGGGTTTAAGGTGCAAGATTGAAAACTGTGTTTTGTTCTGATACAAAGCCTTGAAACTAGGAGGTGGAGGATTAATTAACTAAATACTCCTGGGCCAGCTGTAATTTTCAGAATCCAGCAACAGAAACAGAGGTGCTGCGCTGCATATTTATGAATGTGAAATAATTAAAGTTAAACCTTGATCAGGCCTTTGGGGGAGTCAGTCTCACTGATATTAGTGTGGAAAATACCAGTTTATCATTATTTATTCAAAAATGTATTCTGCTAATTCCTTTTGTCTGTTAATAATGGCTCACAGGACCAGAGCCTATTATGCTGATGATTCTCACTGGTATTCATGCTTACTCAGAAGTCAGTCCCATTAAATCAGTAGAATCAACATTCCAAATAAGTGTGTAAACAACAATAGTTTTAAACGTAAGGACATTGGGAGAAATACATGTTCATTGATATCAGTAATGTAGCACTTTGTTTCTAGGTTACTGCTGAATTCAAATTAACTTAACTGCTCAAGGAAGAGAAAATTGCAATTATCAGGCAAATAAAAAAGGCTTCTCTAATCTCTAAAACTCCTGCTGAACCACAAAATAAATACACAATAACTTGGGTTCACCTGTCATATTTTTGTTTCTCAATCTAATTATGATTTCATCTAGTACACTCAGCTAAAACCAAACAATCATATTATGGTTGAATATAAATAGAATAGAATAGAATACTTTATTGGCCAAGTGTGATTGGACACACAAGGAATTTATCTTGGTGTAAATACTCTCAGTATACATAAAAGAAAGGATACATTCGTTAAGAATCAAGAATCATAACGTACAACACTTAATTATAATCATAGAGTACTATCAGCAATCAAATCATACTAGGAAACAGTCAATATAAATCGTAAGGATACAAGCGACAAAGTTACAGTCCTACAATCACAAGTGGGAGGGGTGGGTGATAAGGAGTGATGAGAAGGTTAGTAGTAATAGTAGTGCAGACTTTGTAATAGTTGAACAGTGTTGAGGGAATTATTTGTTTAGCAGAGTGATGGCTTTCCGGAAAAAACTGTTCTTGTGTCTAGTTGTTCTGGTGTGCAGTGCTCTATAGCGTCGTTTTGAGGGAAGGAATTGAAACAGTTTATGTCTGGGATGTGAGCAGTCTATAAATATTTTCACAGCCCTCTTTTTGACTCGTGCAGTATACAGGTCCTGGATGGAAGGGAGGTTGGTAGTAATTGGTTTTTTTCTGCAGTCCTAGTTCTCCTCTGAAGTCTGTGTCTGTCCTGTTGAGTTGCAGAACCAAACCATACAGTTATAGAGGTGCAGATGATAGACTCAATAATTGCTCTGTAGAACTCCTTGGGCAGTTTGAGCTTTCTGAGTTGGTGCAGATAGAACATTCTTTGTTGTGCTTTTTTGATGATGTTTTTGATGTTAGGTGTCCATTTTAGGTCATGTGATATAGTAGAACCTAGAAATTTGAAGGTCTCTACTATTGATACTGTGTTGTCTAGTACTTAAGAGGTGGTTGTAAGGGAGGGTTTCTTCTAAAGTCTACCACCGTTTCTACGGTTTTGAGTGTGTTCAGTTCCAGATTGTTCTGTTTACACCACGAGGCAAGTTGTATAACCTCCTGTCTGTATGCAAATTCGTTGTTGTCTCAAATGAGACCAATCACTGTTGTGTCATCAGCAAACTTCAGTATTTTAACAGATGGATCGTTTGAGATGCAGTCATTGGTATATAGGGAGAAGAGAAGTGGAGAGAGCACACAGCCTGGTGGGGCCCCTGTGCTGATTGTACAGGTATCCAATGTGATTCTGCCTAGCTTCACCTGCTGCTTTCTGTCTGTTAGGAAGCTTATGATCCACTTACAAGTGTGTTCAGGTACTGCTAGTTGGTTTAATTTACATAGAAGAGTGTCTGGAATGATGGTATTGAATACTGAACTGAAGTCTACAAAGAGGACCCTTGCATAGGTATTGGGAGATCCAAGGTGTTGTAGGATGTAATGCAGAGCCATATGGATGTGTGAATTCCATCACAAATTATATAATAACTCTTCAACTTTGAGATGGTAAGCAGGGTCTTTTGGGTTTGCAAAAGGTTCAGTAGCTACAAGCCTCACATACAAAGTTACTTCCACCCCAAAAATGGTTCAGCATTTGTAATGTTCAAATTAAACCATACACTTATTCAAGGAATAAAACTAAATTCAGCTCCAAAATGATTCTATAATTCAGTGTTTCCTCTTACATACCTGTCTACTAATTGTAAATAACAGAGACAACGTTGGATGGGAGCTATATTGACATTGGAAGTAACAAGAAAAAAAGGAGGAGAGAGTGAGTGGGAAATTTATCCTTAGGATTCCCAGAATCCTAAAAAGTTCTGAATCAGAGCCACCTCTGAACTTGATCTCACATTGCCAAGACATCAGCCAGTACAGCTCTTTGGATTATCCTTGTGACAATCAAAACAACAAGTGTCTTTGGAGATTCTCAGTCATCCAGGTCATGGTGATCCCAAAGGTGCTTTTTCAAGAGGCAACTGGACTTTCTGGTTTTTCTTTGAAGACATTTCATTTCTCATTCAAGAAGCTTCTTCAGTTCTTTTTTCTCCTCTCTCAGAACAATGCTTAAGTGCTTTAAAATAATGTAAAGTCCTTCTTTTTTTTTTAAAAAAAAAGCAAAAACAAATTCAAAAGACAAAGAAATCGAAACATAAATGTCTTCATTACAAAATGAAAGGAAAAGGAGAAAGAGTCCAAGCACTTTCCTTTATCAATTTGGGTCCAGAGGCTAAAACACAACAACAAAAGCAACAATCTCTTTGTTTATAGGTATATCTTCAAAACTCTAATTCCTATGCAGCAACCCAAGAACTTTGAAGCTTTCATTTATGCTTTCTATAAACACTCCTGGAAGAGTAAATAAGTATTAAAATGATCTTCCAGGCTCATCTTCACATCCCACTAACTGTAGCACAAGGAGCCTTGTGAACCATTTTCAAGTTACACATCTTCATGACATTGTCTTGGTCTCATCCTCAGCCAACTATGGAGACAGACTAAGTAATATCAAGCTGTTCTCTAAAGAATTGGGATACTTTGGTTGCATTGAGGAAAATTAATTTGAGTTAACCTATACTCCACTGACCCAAGCCTGATTTGAATGAAAATATGATAGTCATGCTGAGAAGGGATAATTGATACCACCTGCCATTAATTTTTAAAAATTACTGTTGTCCACGTTGCACTCAGTGAGGTGACTGTTGATAGTTCCAGAATTTTCTTGGTCCTTTGGTAATTTCTGTTCAAATATGATGTCTTGTAAATGTTAGAGCCATTTCTCAGGAAGAATGTCTTCCCATGTTCTTACCAACAGTTCTATGCAACAGCTCATATTTTCCTCATTAAGCCATGCTACTTTTGTGTTTCCTCCAAAGAAACCTACAGTCTGGTTGATGAAACCATCAGCAGCATTGGCCACTTGGATTTATTATCAGTTCATTTCTTCTTGTTCTTGTCTTAGACAAGAACACAAGTGAAGACTTGCTTGAACTTCTTGCGGAAGTGCTTGGAAATGAGAGCATAAACAATTGGGTTGAGGCAGGAATTGGCATATGAGCAGCAATGAGAAGCTAGGCGTAAGGCAAAGGTAGCTTGGTTAAAGTCGAAATAGCCGAACCAGAAATACAAGATTAACAGATGGTGGGGCAACCAACACAAGCAGAAGAGGACAGTCACTGCAATAATCATCTTGGTGACCCTCCTTTTAGCCTTGCGGGACTCTGAGATTCCTTCCAGAGGGTCTACAGCAGTCCACAAGAATTTGATGGTTCTAGCATAAGCCAGGCTGACAACAGAGATTGGGAGGATGTAACTAAACACAAAAGTGAGGATGTCTAAGATCTTCCGGTGTTGGTCCTCCCAAACAGGGGCACACATGAATGTCTCCTGATAATTAATGGTTTGGTAATAGCTGAGATAGGGTCCTGCAAAAAGCAGGGAGAAGGACCAAATCATGACAATAGCAAGGACTGCATTGCAAGTGGTACGGAGATTCCGAGATTTCAGTGGATAGCAAATAGCCAAATATCTGGAAACAAGACAGAAGTTGATAAATTCAATATATTATGTATACATACATCTATCGTTATTTTCACCTTTATTGCTTAAATGTGTTGCACTTTCTTCCAGATTCAGACTCTACTTGGGACAAGCCTTTTTTATGCCCTTTTCAGCATGAATTTGATACTTAAAGTGCCACCCAAACCTACTATTTGAAAGTCTACTGAAATTGACGTAGGTGTTCATAATTTCATAATCCCATAAATGCAGGGGTGGGCTGCTACTGATTTCCACCGGTTCAGGTGAACCGGATGTTAATTTTATGGCCAGTTCACTGAACTGGTAAATCCCACCCCTGGCTGGCCCTGCCCATCCTGCCTCTCCCCTCCCAGGAATCCCTACGCGGCCCATTTTGGATCTCAGGTAATTGCAGGGCACGTGTGAAGGCTCGAAGAGGGTGAAAAATACCCCCCCCCCATTTCCAGCCTCCAGAGGGCCTCTGGAACCCAAGGAGGCCATTTTTGCCCTCCCGGAGGCTCGAGGAAAGTCTCCGAAGCCTGGGGAGGGCAAAAATAACCCCCCGGTGGCCTCTTTTCGCTCCCAGGCCTGTGTACTGTAGGAGCCGACTAGGCCACACCCACCATGGCCACGCCCACCTAGCAACCTGACAGAGAACCAGTTGCTAAATTTTTGGAAGCCCACCCCTGTGTAAATATAATATGGATCTTTTTTCCCCTGATACAGGTAGAAAGGTTTTGGAACCCATGCTAGAAATTCATTCTATGTTTGGATATGACATTTTCCTGAAAGAATTTATTCATATACATTTGACAGGAAACATAAAGAACTGGTAAATGTGCTACAATTATTAAGGGGAAAGAGTAGGGAAAGCTTGAAAAGGGTAAAGTGATAAAAATAGAAATAATTATGTGGAGAACACAAGGCATTTTCTTTTTGATTGACTGTGACATAGGTAGAGGTTTGGAATGAAGATGCAGATCAGGAGATCAGGCCTAAGGCCACAACTCTGCACTTCAGTTGGATGGAATGAGAAAGTTTGGGTAGGGAAGAAATGGCAGGTGAGCAATCCATGTAAACTCTGTTGCCAGGAAGATTTTTGCTAGCAAGTAGAAAGCTAGCAGAATGTGGAGACGAGATCCTACCTTCCTGATGTGTCATATTTTTATTTACATAAAAATGTTCATGGTTGATTTTAAATATATCCTTCAATCTGACTGAAAACCATCTAATCTAATCTAATCTGGCCTCAACCACATAAAGACATTTCTAAAGAGACAAATCAATTGGGATGCTTTAGTTATGGGAAAATAGGAAGTACATTTTTTAAAATAAATAAAAATAGATCACGTGTGGGGTCCTTGGTGCTCTCTGAGCTTGGTTGTTTTTTTGCACATGTTTTATTACTGAAATTAGGTAACATCATCGGTGCTGGTAGGGAGTGGAGTTTGCTCTCATTTTATATTTTAGTGCAGGGGTGTCAAACTCATGGCCTGCAGGCCGGATGTGTCATGCACTGGTCACGCCCAGCCCCGGTTTAGCGAAGGGGAGGGAAAAAAAATCACAATACGTCATGTGACAACAACGTGACACTGCGAGTTTAACACCCCTGCTCTAGTGGCTTTCCCTATCAATGTTGGTGGGAGTGGTCTTGATGGTTCTTTGGTAGGTTGTTTACTGTTAGCTGGTTTGTCAGTTTCTTGACTAGGGTATTGTTTGCTTCTTGATTGTTAGGTAAAGGTAAAGGTTCCTCTCACACATACATGCTAGTCTTTTAGTCTAATGCTAACCTTGGTGTTAATCTCTGCTCATTTGAGTGTTGATTGCTGGTAAAAGTTTTGGTCTTTTGGTTCCCTTTTTGGCTTGTGGATTGTCTCCTGAATGGCACGTAAATGTTGTTTGTGTCTATGTGCTGTTGATGGCTGCTTTGTCAGAAGATCTACATACCATTCATCTACACACCACACAAATCTACATGGCTCAGAGAGCACCAGGACCCCTCATTTCAACCCTGAGTTACAAATATTCTCTTCTAATAGGTCACCTGTCAGGTAATTTAAGATTTTGGATAAAAGATTAAAGACTCTCCTCCTTCTCCTGTTTAGAAATAAATAGACTGATTTCACATATCATATTAAGCAATGGTTTCTTCTTTTTCTTTTCTTAAAAAAAATGGTTTCAGTGCCTGAATAAACACAATATACTTTGCCAGAATCAATCAAGCCACATTAGTGCAATGTCAGAGCAACTACACAAGCAATGTTTTGTTATAGGAGGAGACAAGAAGTTTTGACTTTTGGAGGAAAAAGAACATTTATATTTACCTGTCCACAGAAACAGCTGCCAGGGTAAAACTGCTGGCATACAAGGTAAGGTAGATGAAGAAATGCACAGCTTTGCAGGCAATGGCACCAAAGAGCCATCCATCCAAAGTATAGATGGTGGCCTGGAATGGGACACAGAAGACAATGAAGAAGAGGTCTGCCACTGCCAAGTTGAGGATGAACAGGTTTGTGGTGTTATATTTCACCTCTCCATTGTGTAGCAGCACAGCCAATACCAGGCTATTCCCGACTGTGCCTACAAGGAAGATGAGGGAATAGACTATAGGCACAATAATGCCTATAGTTCTTGCTTCTAAGCTGTCTGAAGATATATTCCAGCTGTCTGGCATCTCTCCATCAGAGATAATAGACCTGGCAGAAATAGAAAGAGAAGTAAATGATGACCTCTCCTTAAGGATGGTTTCATTCCTGGGTTCAGCATATGCTCTTTTTATCTCCCAAAACTACCACTTTCATTTTCTATCCCAGCATTTTCCAACTTGAGGTGAAGGATAACATAACTCTTGTTCCCTACCATTCCATCTAAAGAACCCAACTGAGTTCTTTACATCTTATATCTTATTTCACTTGACCACACCCGAGAGCTGAAAGCCCATACAGGGGACACAGGATAAGGTGTTCATTGTTGCTACTAACTCTTGACAGCACTCAGCATCAGTGATCTGGGGCACCATCTTACTTCTGCAATTCTCCTATTCTAAGCAACCTACCACTCAAGCCCAATATACGTGCTAGTCGTGTCCGACTCTAGGGGGCGGTGCTCATCTCCGTTACAAGCCGAAGAGCCAGCACTGTCCGAAGACGTCTCCATGGTCATGTGGCCAGCATGACTAAATGCCCGAAGGCGCATGGAACGTTGTTACCTTCCCACCAAAGTGGTCCCTATTTTTCTACTTGGATTTTTTTTGTGCTTTCAAACTGCTAGGTTGGCAGAAGCTGGGACAAGTAACGGAAGCTCACTCTGTAATGCAGTGCTAGGGGTTTGAACCACCGAACTACCGACCTTTCTGATCGACAAGCTCTGCATTGGCAGAGTTGTGGGAAGGCAAGAGGAAGAAGTGCCACATTTAAATTACATGAGTAAAAGAATGGAGGGGGTATGGTTAAAGTGGGTAGGACAAATAATGTGCAAGGCTTCAAGGTCAAAAATATTGGGTCCTCCCACTCTTTTCGGTGTTGCTGTATGTTGATATTGTAGGAGGAAAACCATGTTAGTCTATGGTAGAGTCTGACAGCACTTTTTCTAAATAACACATTTGAATAAAATCAGTTAGAGAAGGTGGTAGAAGACTCCTCCTGATTCATGGGGGATCTAAGAATTGCAAAAATTGGGCTGGACTGGCTCTAAGTAGCTGTCAGCCCTTCGAGGTAGGCCAAGAAAAGAAGCAGACTCAACAAATGTAGCTGGAACTATACTTTATTAAGCCTAACTAGAATCTTAAAAGTTTTTCCCTCCCTGCCTTTTATATCGTAGTGCTGTGTTTCTCAACTTTGGCATTTGGAAAATGTGTGGAGTGCAATTCCCAGAAGTGCTGGCTGGGGAGTTCTGGCTAGGGAAGAATAAATCTAATGAATCAAGGAGGAATGAATCTCATCTTCTTACTCACACTTTCTCTATGTCTGTGTTAAAACACACTTTTGTTTTTTCAACCTTTGTCTTGCTTCTCCAAGGCAATCTTCTTCAGCTGTACAGTGACCCAAAGCTTGTCCATCCCTGCCAAACTATGTCCCAGGTCATCTACAACTTGAAGAACTGAATATACTGTTTGCACATCTTGCCCAAGCTAGCTATGATTTCGTTTAATATTTGTGTTAAAGTTTATATTATAAGCTCCTTGGAGCAAGGACTATATAATAACATTTGTGTTAAACTTTACATTATAAACTCCTTGGAGCAAGGACTATATACTTGTTCTAAATTTGTATCTTGGCATTACTATATATACATGTTTGTGTTTAATATTTTCAAAGGTAAATCTATACACAGCAACCATCGTTTCCAATAAGCAGGGCAAAAATGTTTGCAACCTGAAACAGCAAACAGAAGCAATTCCATACTCCTGAACTATACAAAACAAATGGGAATCTGATCAGGACTGGCATATTATTACTTCATTCAATTGCCAAGTAATCCTCAATTTATGACCATAATTGAGCCCCAAATTTCTGTCGCTAAGCAAGAGTTAAGTGAATTTTGCCCCGTTTTATGACCTTTCTTACCACAAGTGTTAACTGAATCTCTGCAGTTGTTAAGTAGGTAACACGGTTGTTAAGTGAATCTGGCTTCCCCATTGACTTTGCTTGTCAGAAGGTCACAAACATTGGCCCTGGGACATTGCAGCGATCATAAATATATGCCAGTTGCCAAGCATCTGAATTCTGAACATGTGACGATAGGGATGCTGCCACAGTTGTAAGTTTGAAAAATGGTCATAAACCACTTTTTTCAAGTGCTGTTGTAACTTCGAATGCTCACTAAATGAATGATTGTGAGCTGAGGACTACCTAAACTGCCCATCATAACAAGTGACTCTGTGCAACAATCAGAATTAAAATGAAATAAAACAATTACAAACATTACAATTTTTAAATATTTGATGACTCTGTATGTTGCTTATCATGAACACACATACACACACACACACACAAAATCCCAAATGCTTTTTAGTTTCAATTTACGTGCATCAAATGCCTGCTTTTCTCAAAGCAAAAATACTGTACATAGGAAATAGATGCATTAAGAAAGGCACAGATAAAATTCAAGAGTGTAAAATACATAGCTAGTAATAGATAAAGATCTCCCTTGGTAAATAAAACAAGTATTTATAAAATGCCTAGAATTTACTTAGTACCTAAAAGACAGAACTGGGGACTACTCATACTGTCTTGAAGAAAGCATCCTGTACCCAGGACACCATTAGCGAATGAAAAGTCAGCTACGGAGGCGATTGCTTCTCTAAACTGCTACTTTCCTGCTTTGTCTTTGCAGAAATCTGACACATGCATTCAACAGGTTAAGCTTAGCGTACAGGTTGGGAGAAAATAATCTTTGGCTGAAATGTATTAATGTGTGACAATGTTTAAACACAGGAGCAGAGGAAGAATAGAAATATGACAGTAGGGTCCACAAAAAATGAACATAGCAGCTTTGATCAACATGCAAACCTGTTAATCTGAATGGCACCGGCTGGAGTTTTGGCACCCATCTACTATCCAAGGACATACAGAATTGGATAGTGCTACTGTATGTTAGGCTCCACCTAAGGGGCTTGAATTTGACATCTTGGTCAGCTGGCTCTGGGATTTGTTTTTGAAGGTAACTATATCCTTCTCCTGCATCATGAGTTTGTATGGTTGGGCTTTGTATACTGTGTGGGAATCCAGCCACTGCCATTTGTAAGCTATGGTTTGTTGCAATATCATGTCTTAATCTAGCCACTGTGGTTTATTCAACAAATCATCATTAAAATAAACCACAGCTTAGTATATTTCATGTATCCAACCAATATCTTTTGGGTGCCTACCCTAAATATGCTAGTTTAGTGTGGTGATATTGAGCTATAAAGCTCCTTCTTCTCCATTACTCAGGGTGTGAGTTCAAAACGTCTTTCGTTTTATGAGGGTCAAGATAAAAACTTCTGGCTTCCCTCTTTTATCCAGCCATTTTCCTCATAGCTGTTAAATCTTTTTTTTTTCTTTGTTTGTGATCCTGTATAAATTGCTAGGTTTTGAAGCAGATCCTCTCTTTTACATTTTCACTATGAAAAACTGAACTTTGGATTCCTCTCAATCTTGGGAATGATAGGAGCCCTGGCACATAATGTATGGATGAAAAGAAAAAAAAACTTTCATTACTCACAATAATTTGATTCACATATGACTTTAGGTTCATACATCATACTAAACCAAAACCAATTGTATAACATTATGGCTTAGTATAATGAATGAACTCAGTATATGATTTTAAGAAAAATTGGGTATCTGCAAGGGACAATCAATATATACTCACATTCTTTGGTCCTTGTGGACAAATAGATTTTGTAGATTTTTCATAACTTCATATCAGAGCTGAGCATGTGGAATCATTGAATAAAATTATTGTCTTTCTGTAGCTCTAACTTGATTTAACCGGGTTCAGCCTTTAGGCTTGTTTCTGATGCATACAATTGAGGTTTTTGCATTTGACAGTCTTTTTTGTGTTTCTGCAGCCTCCTTTCCACTGTTCATGTTAAGTGAATAATTCTGATTTGCATAGAATAAGCAATAGTGATGGTTTGCACCTCCTGATTATGCCGCAATTAGCTTGTTTACAGTACATACTGTTCCAAAAATTGGTTGTAAAAAAACCTCAACCTTGATGCCTTAAACAAGGGGCCACCAAGTTATTATGAGTACAATCCCACAGCTGTCTATGTTTGTTTCATCAACAGAAAGAAATTCTGCCAGGGAAAAGAGCCTGGAGATTGCAAGTTACTAAATCCCAATTGGAGGAAAAATGCACCAGGTTTGTTTTAATATTTTCAATTTTTAACTCTGTGTGATAATAATATATTCTCAAATAAGATTACTGGGAAAGCACATAATTGGTATGATTAGTGCAGAATCCAATCTGGGTCTATCATCAGGACCAGAGGTTTTGTCTTCCAAGCTTTCGGACTCTGCTAGAAAGAAGTTCCCTGATGAGGGGGTCCAGCACAAGTCCAAAATTTCAGAAGACAAACCCTCTGGTCCCAGTGACCAACCCAGATTAGATCCTGCAACATTATCCTGGGACATGCATATTAGCCTTTATTCATGTATGATTATTATTTAAAATAAACTCCACATGACTTTTTAAACAACACTTTGTCATTTGACTAATATGTCCATTATGCTAGCAATATAAAATGTAAAACATTTTACAATATAAAACGAAGGTTTGCATGACTTGGGGAAGATTGCTCAGAGCCACTGAGGAAAGAACGTAGGTTAGCTTTCCTGAAGGTCAGAAAATTTTCTGAGTGACAGAGAGGACTGCGCCTTATTCCAGAATCGTAAAGCCTCTTGAAATGCACTCTTTCTACTACTTGCTTCTGGAGTGCTTTGAGGTTCAACACAAAGACCTGGTACTCTCTGCAGCTTTATCCTTGGCAGAAAGAGATGCCAAAGGTATTATTTATTTTATTCAACAAACAAAAGTTATTATTATTATTAAAATTATTGTTTATTTTATTCATCAAACAAAAATTACAAAGGCGAACAAAGAGAATTGTCAAAGAGAAAAGGCGTTATAATACTAACAGAGCACAGTACCATGCAAAGTTAATAAAGCATAAAACAAATGCTGTCATATCTGCAGCCATGC